CTATCAAATGAAAAAATAAAAATTCACGAATCAACTTTCAAAAATGGTCAAATCTTGCAAATTCATGGGTGTTTAAATGGTACGACTTTTTTGTTTTGTTTTTTCTATACAATTGAATTAAGGGATATTGGCTAAAATAACTTAAAAAAAATATATTTACTAACTAACCAAATGGTCATAATCTAATGGTTAATATATATATATTTTTAGTTATTGCTGCAAATCACCCTGCAACACATTGTCACTTATCACCAACTCATTTACTTTATGGGTTACTCTTATTAAAAAAATTAATGTATTACTCTTGCTTAGAAGGTCTCATAAGACCAACTAAGAAAAAGGCAAAATATAGTACTGCACATGAAATCATTAAAGGTATTCCATGATAAGTTTCATTATTATTATAAGGAAATCAATTGTTATTGGATGACATATTAAGTAAAGCCTAATACAACCATTGATTATAATTATAGTAACAATGAATATATATGATGATCATTTTGAGAAATTGTAACATTATCCACAATATGATCTCTTAGGGAATCGAGTGACCATACATTTAATTTAATATTGATTTATCATTGTTTTAGTATTTTTCATAATATAAACATATAATAATCCATGCATCCCTGATTCACCATCGATTGATTGTCGTATTATAAGCCCACTTTCGGTCAAACAACTACCGAGTAGGAAAAAATGAAAATACAGAGAAATGGTCAAAATTTGCAATTCTCCTTTTGGGCAAACTTTATATGCTCTAACCACGAAGTTACAAGTCAGAACAATATAATAGTGGTCAAATTAGTTCAACTCAACATGTACAAATATGATCATTTACCGAATACATATTTTTTACGTGTAACATTAAATTGTTTAGTGTCAAGTTTCAAAAAAAAAAAACATTAAATTATTTTTTAAAAAAATATATGAAAAACATTAAATTGTTTTTTTATCAATTGTACAATTCTTATGATTTAGCGTTAATGAGATGATGGTTTTAGTCAGTAACACTTTGGAATTGTAAGAATCTTTAATCTATAAAATGCAAAACAAAATGATAATCATTTATTAAAATAACTTAACAGAACCGTAAACTTATTAAATGACAAAAAAAACTTATAGGATAACTATCTAATATTCATTCCGTTTCAAAATGTTTGGTTTTTTAGAAATTTTTTT